AGAGAAAGAGAATCCTGAGGCGCTCTGTTGTGGGGGGCGGGGACTTAGCAGCCCAAGGATCTTGCTTGAGTCTCCAACACTTTTTCTCCTGGCCCCGAAGTCAAAACATAAACAGTGCATTCCATGCTGGGAGCTGCCTTGCTGTTGCTGGCCAGCACCCTCCACCTGTGACATTTCCCATCGTGTCACCTCTGTCTCCACACCCCAGGGGGTGGCACAAGGGGCCGCCTCATCTCTAGCCCCCCAACTCTCTGAGGGTTCCCAAATCACTACCCAGGAAGCCAGGATAAAAGGAGGGGTGGAGGGCTTGGGAGGCATACACAGGCTGACATGAGAAATTCTTTCTTAGTGCTCAAGCCAGAATGGGAGGAGTTGCAGACACAGGAAACGTGACCTTCCCGGTGACTTCCAGCCCTTCTTGCATTCTGGGGCCCAGAACGCACTCAGTGTGCAAAACTGGGGCTCAGAGGGTTCCAGGGGCTGCAGGACAGGCCATGGTCGACACCCAGGGTCTGCACGTGGACCCCCAGCCAGGCAGACCCCCAGGTCCACTGCAGGGCAGAGGGCAGGCGTCCATTGCACCCCCAGGAGCCCTCCCAGGAGAAGGCAAGGCCTCCCTCCCTCTGCCTCCCACGGTCAGCTGACCTCTCCGGTGACAGTCTCGTTATTGATGAAGCTCGCGAAGTCCACGGTGGGCGCCCAAGGGTCATTCTGATTGAAGACACTGCTGCTGCGGGGCTCCTGCTCCTTCCGCCGGGTCACGGCCAGCTGGTACCTAGGTCAGGTGGCCATGGTCACTAGCCCCGTCCTGCCACCCGATTACGACGGGGGGAGGGGGGGAATGCTCAGCCTCTCAGCCTCCCTCCCGCGTGCACACAGCAGCACACCCTCCTGCCACTCTGCAGGATGTGCCCTCCCCCTCCAAAACAGAAGGCGCTCTCACTCCTGAAGCTGTGCCCACTAATGGCTGGAAGATCCTCCAGAGACCCCTCTCACCCGGTGGACGGTCTGCTCTGCTTCCAGGCCTCTGTCCCACTCGCCCACCTCCCCCGGCCCCCTCCGACGCCCGCCGCTCACCTCCCCCAGCTGAAGGCTCTCTCCACGGAGCTGCTCCGGGGCAGCGGCTCCCCAGAAAAGCTGACCGGCTGGATGCGGTAGCCCCGGGCGTGACCCCACTTGTTGCTCTGGTTGCTGGCCAGGTACAGGTAGCGAGGGGTGGCGCCCCCCAGGGGGAAGGCAGCCTGCTCCTCCGTCTCCAGCCGTCTCCGGGTCACCTGCAGCCTCTGCATCTGGTGCTCAGGGTGCCAGGGCACAGGCGTGGGGACAAAGGCCATGTCCTCCGCCCAGACCCAGTTCTCCAGTCCTGGAGTGGGGAAGGCTGGTCATGCAGCTGCCCTGGGCCAGGGGAGAGAGGGCTCCAAAGAGCGTCCCGGGACCGAGGGTGGCCCTGCTTCCCCCTCCCCAGCACACCCTCCACCCTTCAGCCGAAGCTGTTGCCCTGTAAATTAACCCATTGCTTCAAGATGCCATCCGTGCGTCCTCTCAATGTTCTTTAGCAGAGGGGACTACGCAGGTCCCTAGGGACGGAGGCGAGTGCCACATCACCTTACCCACCCATGCTCATGGTCTGGCCATGTGAGCAGAGCAAGGCCAAGGTGGGGTCAGGGTTACAGGAATACAGGCACAGGCAGGGTCAGGGGCCCCTCCTGGGCAGCCTTTTGACCTGGCTTTAAGGATGTCACCAAAAGAGAGGACATGGGGGAGGGTGTTTGGAATGATGATGCAGCTGCTGCCTGGGATGCCCACATCCCCTTTCAGGGTCCCTGGGCTCTGCAGTTCCGGCTCCACTCCTGACTCCAGTCTCCTCTCATCCGAGTCTGGGAGGCAGCAGATTATAGCTCAAGTACTTGGGTCCCTGCATCCATATGGGAGAACTGGACTCAGTTCCCAGCTCTTGGTTTCAGCTTAGCTTAGTAATGCAGGCATTTGGGGAGTGAACCAGCAGATGGGAGATCTCTATTTCTCTCTGCCTTTCAAATGACTAATTTTTAAAACAAACAAACATGACATGGAAGTGTTTTGGGCAGAGGCAAAACCTGAGCCCAGATGCAGAATGCTAACTGTAACACGTGGGTTGTGTGTCCAGAGTGTGACAAGGACAGAACTTGGGGGAGGATCTGCAAGCAGGTTGCAGCCACGCTAAGAAGGGAAGGGCCCTGTGCTCGCTCTGTAGAGGGGACCCTGCAGGTGATGGGGAAAGTGACAGCTGGGTGAGGAGCTGGGGGTCCGCAGCACCGCCTGGGGCTGGGAGGACCCTGAACACCACCACTGCGAGGGTAGGGGCAACAGAGAGTGCCAGCACCTGCAGGGCGATGGCAGCAGGCCCGAGCGAGGGTCCGGAGCTATTTCAGATACGGAACAGAAGGAAGTCTGCTGAAGACCTCAAAGCGGTGAGAGGCGACAAGAACTCTGCAGTTTCTCAGAGCCCGGGCTCTGCGAACACCAGCTCCAGGAATGTGCAGAACGCCCCTCCCCATACCCATCATGAGAGACTGAAAGCAGAGAGCAGCAGGGTGCTCCCAAGGAAATGTACAACCCCGGGGGGTTCGTGACTGGCCGGCCGGTACCAGGGACTTGGCAGAAGGCAAACAGATGCTCAGGGCACCAGTACCACTGGCCAGCCGAGGAGACGTGAGTGGCAAAACAAATGGCTGCCTCAAAACATGAGGCCCGTGCAAGTGATAGGGAGGGAAGACCCCATTAGCCCAGGCCCTGTCTCTTCCCTGAGCTTAGCCATTTCTCAAGATTGACTAAGCAGATCCCACAGACGGAGCTCACGTTCCCTAACTAGTGAGTTCAGCTCCACGTAAAACTCAGCAGCCAGCACTCTCCCAACCAGCAAAGAGGGGGGCAAGACAATCCACCTCTTCCTCTCCTGGGTGACGCAGAGAGAACCGAAAGCCAGTGGAGACGAGCCCTTCAGGACCCCTCCAGGACGCCTTACCTGCTACGTCCAGATCCACCTTGAAGTGGGCGCTGTGGGTGTGGACCGTGCCCAGCGTGTGCGCCCCGACTTGGTTCCCAAACGTTCGGGCAGCACCAAAGAAAAAGGATGAGCTGATGTAGCCGGTGGCGTGGAATTTGACCTCCACGGCCCCGTTGGGGTGGAACATCATGTCCCACACATAGTCGTAGTTGAACAAGGTAGACACAGACCTGAAGATCAGCACTGTCTCCACGACGCCCCCAAAATAGTGGGAGTGGATGTCCGAGTGGTGGCGCCGCAAGGGCAGGCCCTGGTTCTGTTCAAACACACAGAAGGCATCACGCACCGTCTTGGGGGTCTGGGACTCCAAGAGGAAGTGCCAGTCCACATAGGTGGCCAGGGACGGGCAGTCCACGCCACGGGTCAGTGGTGTGGCATATTTGCCCATGCCAAAGCCACCATCCAGATAGCGGGTCAGCATTGCAGCTGGGGAATTTCCACCATAGATGGTCACGGCTTCTTGGAGGCTGATCTCATAGGCCAGCCGCTCCCCCTTGAAGCGCACATCGAAGACCCGTGGGCCGCTGAAAGCTCCCAGGCCGAAGGAGAAGGTCCACAGGGAGGAGGCCACGCGGGTGCCCTGGACGCTGAAGCGAGGGCCCTGGGGGTGGAACTGCAGAGGCGGCGCCAGGCCTGGGGGCACCTGGAGCTTCAGCGACCACCACCCACCTGTCCCGTTGTTTGGGATCAGCACCACGTTCACCTGGCCGGCCTCAAACCGCTCCTCCAGCTGGGCCAGGCTCTCATAGTAGCGGCCTTGATAGAACACCTTCCGGATGCGCCAGCGGGCAGGGTCCAGGGCCTTGTGGTCGACCAGCAGCTCCAGCCCCACAGGGTTCAGGAAGAATCCAGCCCCCACGATGTTGTAGTAGAGGCCAAACCAGGTGGCCCGGTCCCCGGACTGCAGGCCCCGGGGGGCTGCCGTCAGCACTGCCAGGTTGCGTGCCCCCGATTTGTAGAAGCAGCAGTGGTGCAGGAGCCCGGCGACGCGGGGCAGCTCTCTGTCGAAGATCATGTCGTCTATGTCCAGGTACTCTCGGGTCAGCACGGGGCGCCGGTAGTAGGGCAGGGGGCCCCCGTGCCGCTCCACCGTCACGTCCCGCATGTAGCTAGGGTGAGGCAGCGGCCCCACCAGCAGCTCACTCACGTTGGGCTGGGGCTGTGCGCCAAAGAAGACGATGGCCAGCGCCTCCCGGGCGGGTGCGGGGCCTCCTCTGTCCAGGTGGGCCAGGGCCGCAGCCTTGGGGGGCAGCTGCAGCTCCACCGAGAAGACGCAGTTGTCTGAGGGCTGGGCCTGGGCCGCGTCCACCAGCCCTGGCCCCAGCTGCTGGGTCAGGAAGCTCATGACAGCTGCCAGCTCCTCTGGGCTCAGGTCTGCAAACAGCTGGCTCTGGCCAGCGTGTGTCCAGCTCTGGGCGCTGGGGGACGCCGAGGGGCAATGCGGTGGCTGGTTGGGTTCACCCCCATTTGCACTCCTGCCTACCAGCAGGACACAAACCAAGGCAAAGATGGTGATGACAGCCAGAGCAAGCAGCACTAGTGTGGTCTTCTGGTTCATGGTCCTGAACAGGGGCGGCGGATCCCAGAAGACGGGTGGGTGCAGTGTCGTCTGGGGCCGGCTCAGAGGGAGCTCTCTTGGCTCCTGGACTGGGGGCGCCCGGACTCTGCTGGAGGTTCCCAGGAGTCAGCTGCCTAGGACAAGGGGGAAGGACCCAGGGAAGCTGGGGCCAGGGGAGGGGCGGGCCGGGGTTGGGGGCGGGTCCGAGCAGGGCCGCAGCGATTTCCACAGACCGTACATGGCTTTGTCCTCCAGGCTCCAATTCAGACTCTGCTCTTTGGGTCAGGGTTGGAGCTGGGGAAAGCTTGGGATGGGGGAAGGGGAAGGAGGCTGGTCTGAGCAGGGAAACCACCACCGTGGGCAAGGAGCTGGGGCTGCAGGCAGCCGGTGTCCCTCAGTGCAGCTCCTTCCCCGGCTCCCCCGCCCCCTTCCAGGGCCAGATGTTCTCTTTCCTGCCACTGGGAACTATTGTTCTTCCAAGGAAACCCCCACCCCAGCCCCTTCAGCTTCCCAAGCAACAGTCCTTGGCCAGGCCTCTCCCCCTGGGCCTCTCCCCTCCGTTGCTGATTTCCTTGGCCCGAGTCCTCAACACTCTCAGGGGATTCTACTTAAGCAGTCGAGGAGAAGACATTCAAGTAAAATCCTTGCAGTGCTTTTTATTGTTAATCCCACAGAACACTTTCCAGCACTCTACCTGCTCTTCCTTCCGAAGGCACACACAGGAAGAAAGACCAATACAACGTGAGTCCCCGCTATTTCGGGCGCTAGCGTCTGTGGTACTTTCACTCAAGTATTTATTTTCAAAACTGCTTTTTATTTAATGTATCATTTAAGAAAACAAACAAAGAATAAACAAAGGGACTATATGGGGATTTGGGAGTTGGGATAGCAGGTACGATTAAAACTCGGGGAACAGTGAGAACAGAGAGGAAGGTACAAGTGTCCCCGGCCCCACCCACTCTGGACTAGAAGCCGCGGTAAGAGAAGGTGGGCAAGTCTGGGGCACAGGCCGCCCGGTGCGGGGCGCAGGCTGCCAGGTTGACACGGCAAAGCCCGGCATCCTGGCCCCTCTCAAAGAATACACTGCTGGGGGAGAAGATCGAGGGGTCCTCATCGAAGAAGTTATAGGGTCGGAGCAAGAAGCCCACCCCGTTCCCCACGGTCACGGTGTTGGGGACATCCTCCGCGTGGGGAATATGCAGGAAGCTGGCTGTCACCCAAGCCACCAGATCCTGCAGGAAAAGGGAGGAGCTGGGGGGCTCTGGAGGCAAAACCCCAACACCCATGTGCAGCCCGGCCCCATGCCCATGCGGCTCACAGTGGCCCATGTGAGCAGCTGGGGGGCCCCGGGGGCTGGCCTCTCCCCACGGGGGCGACCCATGGTGATCAGCAGAGCCCCTCAGCCCCTGAATCAGAACCAGCAGCCACGCAGCCAGGCCTGCAGGGGCCCCTCCTCAGGCTCCAGAGCTACCCACCTCTCCTAAGAGGGTCTCGTTGTCGATGAAGTCGGCGAAAGCCACGGTGGGCGTCCAGATGTCATTCTGGTGATAGATGCTGCTGCTCCAAGGCTCCTCCTCCTTCCTTCGGGTCACCGCAAGCTGGTATCTGACCAGGGATTGTTGCAGGAAGACCGTGTTGGGAGGTGTCAGGGGCCGCCACTGGCCCCGAAGTCCTTTGGATTAGGCTCTGTGTGAGGCCATTTCCCACCCGGCATCTATTTGGCTGTGAGGGATGGGCCAGGGATGAACCATGAGCACTGGCAGTAGGCTGGTGTCTCCAGGGGATGGGGTGGGGGATGGGCCCATCCTTCCCCACCCCCCACCACCCCAAGCCCTCCTCACCTCCCCCAGCTGAGGGCCCTCTCCATGGCACTCTCCAGGGGCACGTGTATGCCGAGGGGGCTGTGGATCTGGATTCGGTACCCCCGCTGGTGACCCCAGGCATTAGTCTGGTTGCTAGCCAGGTACAGGTAGCGGGGAAGGGGGCTTCCCCAGGAAAAAGCCGCCAGGTCCTCCCTTCCCAGGACCTGCCGCGTCAGCTGTGGGCGCTGCAGCTGGTACTCAGGGCTCCAGGGAGCTGCCACAGGCTTAAACACCACGTCTTCAGCTAGCACCCAGTTTTTCAGCCCTGCCAGGGTGAGGGAAGGGAGAGGAGTTCCACACCAGGTGAAGCGGCACAGACAGCCCACTCACCCCTCCCATGATGCCGCAGCCTGGCCCTGCACTCCCTGCCGAGTGGTTGCTGTACAGAGCACAGATTCAGAACATTCTACCATTGTGGAAAGTCCTATCAGCACTGGTCTACCCAATAGGCCCTACCAATGTGCTTCTGACCCTTGGTGCCCTGGCAGAAAGCTGTCCTGCTGCTGTGCCCAGCAAGCAGATGACCAGTAACAGCCCTGTAGCTAGGAAAGGTGTGATCTTTGTCTCGGAAAACCTAACTTCGAAGAGCCAATCCCCTTCAGCGCTCCCCCACACACTCCCCCACCCCAGCTCTGAGACTTGGCTTCTTCACGGGGCTAGGAGTACCTCCCATCTGTTTAAAGGGTGCACATTTCTGTCTTCCAATTGTCCTGCAGCCCGTTGGAGTTCCATTGCGTTCAGAACTCAACTCAGCGTTTACATCACAACCTTCCCTCTCGCAGACCCGTTTAGTTCTTTTAACCACAACCCCTCTGAAGGCTGCTAGCGCCTCTACTGGGCAGGCAGGACTCTGCATGCCCGCAGGGGGAGGGGCCAGACAGCCTGAGGCCCCACAGCACCAACCAGGCTGCACACACTAGGGTGCCAATACATGGTACTTGATGTGACTTCCCCAAATGAGCCACTTTAAGGGCAAAAACGCCCAAGAGAACCTTCTCAGAAAACAGCGTCCAAACCTGCCAGGGAGTCACCTGATTAATATGATCACGTCTACTATTGCTTTCTTAGTCCTCTGGCCCCACAGCCCCACCACAAACTCCAGTGCAACTGCTCACGGGGCCACACGCCAAGCCTCACACTGCAGAGGCTGCGAGAACGCTTCCGATGCAACACGCTGTCCTGCGGCACTGCCCCATCTCCCCCCACCCCCTGCAGCTGTCCCAGCTGGAAAACGTTGAGCCTGGTGGGCTTCTAACTTTCTGGATCCGCCAGGAGTCACAGTCCTCTTTGTGCTCCCTAATCCCTGTGTCCAGCCGCAGCAAGTCTGTTGTGCACCTGCCGACTCTGGAGCCCTCCGTGCTGTGATGGCCCTCCCAGGGAGGACAGCGGCAGCAACGCCCTGGCCCTGGCCCTGTTCCCTACTCCCGCCACTTCCCAAGTCCCAGTTCCATCTCGACCCTGGCTGAAAACTGTTGGGACAGCCTGCTTCCTGCTTCCTGGCTCAAGTCTGCTCAGCCCCCTGCCCTCCCCACCCTACCGCTCTCCCTCAGGATGAATGCGGCAGGAGCCCGTGCCCCGTCCAATCTCAGGCAGGGCCAAGCCACCCACCCACGGCATCACTCGGGGTTAAGGCAACCATGCACGGCCACTGCACTGGTTCATAACTGCTGCAGTACAAGGGGCTGGGGACTGGGTTCCCTACAGGTGAACCCGGTTCACCTTTAGCCAGACTCCTGATAGCCCACAGGCTGATTGCCCTTGACCGCCACACCAAAGCAGTCCCTGCTCTCCGGCCACAGCAACCATGGTTCTTGCCTCAACGACCTCAGCTCCAGCTGGGCGACTCCCTTCCCTCTGCCCCACGCACCAGCCCCCGTCCCCATCCCCTGAGCACTCACCTGCGACATCCAGGTCCAGCTTGAAGTGGAAGGCGTGGGTGTGCACTGCCCCCAACACGCGCTCCCCCACACGGTTCCCAAAGAGGAGGCTCTCGGCTCCCCCGCTGAGGAAGGCTGTGTTGATGTAGCCCGTGGCATGGACCCGCCCCTCGAGTGCCCCATTTGGGTACAATACAAAGTCCCAAATGTAATCATAGTTGCCTACAGTTGACACAGACCTCACCACAAGAGCCGAGCTGGCCAAACCACCATAGAAATGACTCCCAATATAATTGTGGTGCCTTCGAAGTGGTAGTCCCTGGGCCTCCTCAAATATACACACAGCTCCTGGGAGCAGCTGGGCTGTCCCTTTGCCCATTAGTATGTGGATGTCCACCATCGTGGCCTGATAGGGGCAGTCAACTCCTCGCACCAAGCCTCGGCTGTTGTGGCCTAGTCCATAGCTGCTATCCAAGTAGCGCGTCGTCATTGTCTTGGGCGAGTCAGCACCATACAGAGTCAGACACTCCTGCACACTCACTTCATACGCTATGCGCTCACCCCTGAACCGAACGTCAAAAATCCTCAGGCCACTGAACACCCCGTGACCGAAGGTAAACGCCCAGAGGGGAGATACCACCAGGCTCCCTTGTACGCTGTACTGGGCACCCTGGGGTGAGAAACGAAGTATGGGGAGAGGTCCTGGGGGCACCCGGGGTCTCAGCGATGAAGCCCCACCTGGTGGGGGTAGAGGGACTCTAATCACTTCCAGCCGGCCAGCTTTAAACTCCCATTCCAACTGGCCCAAGTCTGCATAGTAGTGCCCAAGGTAGAAGACCTGCTGGACAGACCAGTGGACAGGGTCCAGGGCTCTGTGGTCCAGCAGAAGCTCCAGCCCCACAGGATGAAGGAAAATACCAAGACCTGAGATGTTATGGTAGAGGGCTATCCACGTCGCTCGGTCCCCTTCTGAGCGCAAACCACTGGGGGTGGCATGCAGAGCCGCTAGAGTGGAGCCATTGTAGTTCAAGACAGAAGCCAGGAAGATGGGTGCCTTGGGAAACTCCTCCTCTTTCAAATGCCTCCACATCTGGGCAAACTCAGTTCTTAGCATGGGGCGCCGGTGGTAGGGCAGGGGGCCCCCGTGCCGCTCCACCGTCACGTCCCGCATGTAGCTAGGGTGAGGCAGCGGCCCCACCAGCAGCTCACTCACGTTGGGCTGGGGCTGTGCGCCAAAGAAGACGATGGCCAGCGCCTCCCGGGCGGGTGCGGGGCCTCCTCTGTCCAGGTGGGCCAGGGCCGCAGCCTTGGGGGGCAGCTGCAGCTCCACCGAGAAGACGCAGTTGTCTGAGGGCTGGGCCTGGGCCGCGTCCACCAGCCCTGGCCCCAGCTGCTGGGTCAGGAAGCTCATGACAGCTGCCAGCTCCTCTGGGCTCAGGTCTGCAAACAGCTGGTTCTGGCCGGGGTGTGTCCAGCTCTGGGCGCTGGGGGACACCGAGGGGCAGCGAGGAGGCTGGCTGGAACCACCTTGGCTGGTCAGCAGGACATAGGCGAGGGCAAAGATGGTAACAAGGGACAGAGCCAGGAACACCAGGACCACCTTGACATTCATGGTGGAGGCTCCAAGCTGCAATCATCGAGTCCCACCAGCAGCGCCTTCCACACACTGACATCGACTCAGGGTTTATATTCGCTAGGATGGATAGGAATGGAGAAGACTCCACCCTGTGGGCTGGACGGGAAATTTCTGACCTTGATTTATGTAATTCTGTTCCAATTTTCGGCCCTGCGGTTTGGCTCAAGGTACTACTTGCACATGTATAGCCTCCTCCTTGTCCCTGAGCTCCTACTGGGAGCAGTCAGCAACCACCCGTGACTGCCATCATCCAGACCAGGCAGGAGGAGCTCGGGATCAACACTAAACTCCACGTTCCACCAGAATGAGCGAGGAAGACAGCAAACTGCAGATGCCTGATCAAGCCCACACCACACACAGGCACCAAACCATCCATCTCCCCACCTGCCTGCTAGCGCCCTCGATTTGCAGTCTCTGGCCCTTTCTACCCAAGTCAGTGAGAGAGGAGGAGTGGCTGAGGGCCTGGGCTGGGCAGGCAGACGTGTGCCCTCAGGGGAGACACTTGTTCCCGTCTACGCAGAACTACCTACAGACTGCTGCAGGTTCCACGCGATCACACGCGTGAGGTGCGCAGCTGCCTGGCACGGGGCAGGCTCTCAAGTGCTGCTCGCTGTTGGCACTGCTCCTGCACTGTTCGTGTGCAGACAACAAGGGGTCACTGGAAACCAGAAAGCTACTTACAAGATGGAAATTAAGGAAACTTTATTTCAGAGGGAGAGGGGGTCCTAGGCAGTTTTCCATGTCATTTTGAAAACCAAGTCTTGCAGTCTCCTCAAAAAATTTAAGACATTATTCAGAGAGGAGAGTGACCATCAGGTAAAGAAAACCACCGGGGAGGCTGCGCCTTGAACCAGGTCGTTCCCCAGATGTGAATCTACAGCAGCCTCTAGTGGCAGTTAGAAGGTACTACCAGGGAAGGAAGGGACTGGGACCTTGCGCAGGGAGGGCTTGGGTCACATAACTCAGACTGAACACAATGAAGGACCCACCCTTGCCTCTTGGTGACCAGAAGCCTCCATCTTCCCACCATTCCAAAGAGGCAGCTCAAGCGGCACTGAGGACATGCGACAGGGTGCCGAGGTCTGTGGAGCGGGCGTTTGTGGGCACCCACAGGAGGATGGTACGTCCCTAGCCCCAAGAGCATGGCACCCAGGTCTGCGGCTTTAGAAAGAGGTCAAAGTACCTGTAATTTTAATAATTTCTTGACATGGTAAAAGAATTTTACATTACGATCCAAGGGTGGTCGGGGAGGAAGGGCAGCGGAACAATCCAACAAACAAAAGGGGAAGCTGAGAAACTCGGGGGGGGGGGGGGGGCTTCAGCTGGAAGGGAGCTGGGTGAGCAGGGCCACCGCCCACCTAAAATGCAATCGGTTTGTTACTGAGAACTACTCATGGGGAGACAGCATCCTGACTCCGCTCCCATAGAACACTGGGAGTAAAAATGATGCATCCCAGGTGGAAACATGACTGGGACTCAGAAGACAGAGACGGGGAGAAGAAATGAAACTGCCACAGAGTCAGCGGCAGGCTGACGGCGGTAACAGGCTGTCCAGCAGGGGAGCACAGGGAAGCTGGGGGCGGCCGAGGGTAACACAGAAGCTGTAACAGTGAGTGGTATCTACAGAAGACTCGAGAGAGAGGCGGCAACTCTTCTACGGTTCTGACCTGCCCAGCACACTCTGACATACACACAAGTGTTTCTGTGTGTGCGCACAAGCACACATACGTACTCCAACAGCTGCTTTCCCTGGAAGCACAATACTATAAATAAGAAAATATTTCCCAACAAGAAAGGCCGACAGGAGCAGCAGCATCCGGCCACCCCGGCTGCAGACACCCTCGCCCCAGTCTAACACTGGCCTGGGAGAGGGCACCCAGAGTCCAAGGACCAGCCTCTGTCGTGCCGCCAGAGGATGCGAGACACAGGAAGAGGCCTTCCCAGGCGCTCCGCGTCCCACCTCTTGTTCTCCTCCAGCTCACCTGGGCACCAACACGAACAGAAGCAGAGGGACAATGGGCCTGGGACGTTTTTTCATCGTGGCAGAGGACAACTAAGACAACTATCACCTCCGGAAAGCTCTGTGCGTGACGGGGGCCCTGGGGCAGGAAGTGTATGTTAGGTAATGCAGCAGGGGGGCAGTGCGTGCGTGTCTGCGTGTTCACGTGTACACACATGTGCATGTGCAAACCCCAACTACAAAAACATCTGCAGCAGCCAGGGGCACAGCGGAAGGCCTAGGTGTTTCCTGTCATGATCAGGTTCAAAGGGGGATGTACGCAGATGGGCACCCTAAATCATCACCAGGGAAGTTGCGACAGCGAGGAGTCAGTGTCCCACAGAAGCAAGACACTAACTTTATGTCAGGAAGAGAGGAGCTGGTGCCCTTGCCACCCCAGTTCCTACAAACACCTAGCAATTTCCCTACAGTTCCCTTAGCATCTAACTAATCACAAAAGAAGGAAGCAAAGCCCAAGACACAGGAGGAAGAGTGGGAGAGAAAATGCCAGTATTCCTGTGCCACATCCTGCACACACACACCTGGGATTCTCCAGAAATTAGGACAGACTGGGTATGCAGTAGTAGGGAAGGGAAGAGAAGAGTTCCTGAGGCCTGAAAAAAGAGGTAAACACATCACAGAACTAGATGAGAGTTTCATTCGACTCTAACTAAAAACAGAGAGGTGTGATTACTATTTCCAGCCAGTTTCCCCATCACGATAGTCAGGTAACAAACCAAGGCAATGTCGGTCTTGAGCCAGACTCACAGAGTCCCCTGGCCCTGGCCCTGGCCCTGGCCTCAGTACAGCGTCTCTGCATTGCTGCTCCGGGGCCGTTTGATCTTCTCAATATTTTTGAGGATCATGTCATGCAGAGTGACCTGCGAGAGATCAGGGAACCACGCATCAGTGCGCCCACGCCCCCCACGAGTCTTCAAGCACTCATTTGCATAATTCCAATTCCACTCACCTGCACCCATTCAGAGCGGCTGCACTCTCGATCTTACTGACCTACTCCATCACTGGGAGTAACTGGGTATTTGCAAGGCCCCAAGGCCTCGTATGGATCCCTCAGTACACTAAGAATTTCACTAAGTCCTTTAATGTATCTCATTTCCAAAAACCCTTTTCTGTGCAGCAGATACACAAAACTCTAAGTCCTATTTTAGAGATGAAGAAACCGAGGTTTGAGGCTGAACAAGGTGAAGGTCACACACTGCGAACGACCTTGGCTCCGAACCTAAGTCCTCTGACGCTGCAGCCGCACCTCAGCCATTTTATTCTACTGCACACCCTGACCCAGCCACACAGCCTCAGGATCTCCTGGTTCTAACACTCAGCTGAGGAGCAAAGTTTTCTCTACTCATTTAACCCTCAAGCCCACCTGCGCCCTGCAGGGTCTGAGAACAGAGGCCAGGAGCAGGATCACTCACATATTGGTTCCTCAGCTCTGATATGATAAGCCGAAGGCTGATGTATTCTTTCTCATCAATCTCCGTCACGGTGCGGCGGTAGTCCTCCTGCAAGGAAGGCCAGAGGAAAAGTCTGCCCCACGGCCGGCCCTCCCAGCCACAGGCACTCCCCGAGCCTGCCACCTCCACCCTCGGCCACACACCCTTACTTACCACATGGGGATATTTAGCTATTTTAGAAACCAATTTGGCTCTTGTAATATAATATCTGAAAGGAGAGAGAATAGGAGGAAGCTGCAGGAGGCCCCAGAGGGTGCCTGGCAGCTCACCAGCCCCTAATTCCTGGGCCACGCCCAGGCAGGCCTACCTAGAAATCTGGTCCAGATAAGATGCAGCTTCACTCTCAACGGTTCTTAGTTCTGCAACTGTCTCCTCCTGAAAAACAAAAACCCCAAAACCTGGTAAATCAAAAGCCACTTCCACACCACCCCGAGCCGCCCCAAAGAGAAGGGAAAAGCAGAAAAAGCGGGAGGGACGAGCGTATCACCCAACCTTTCTCCTCAGTTTGGAAGGCAGGCACGCTACCTGAATGGACACTCCAAAGTTGTTCCCATCTTCTATCCGGGGAATCAGGAGCTGTACCCACATTTTCACCTGGAGGGTGAGAGCCCAAAACACATATATGAAGATGCTGGGCTTTTCTGCTGAAGCCACGAAGTACCCAGCTGGTACTGCTGTGGCCAGATGCTAGGAATCCACGAGTTAAGACAGCTACTGTGCCAGCAGCCCACCCCAGCGCCACGCCCCCAGCCCCTCACCCACCAGTCTCATGGTGTCAGTGGGGCTACCCGCAGTGAGCCCACGGGTCACTAGCCCCTGCCTCACCGTGTTACATTTCTCGATCAGCAGCCGGATCTCAGGTTTCACTTTCTCAATAATGTCGACCAGCTGCTGGTTGCTTTTTAGCATCCCATTGGGCATCACAAACACCTTGGTTCCTGGCAGGGATGGGAAGGTCGAATGATTAGGCAGGAGGGAGGCCGGGGCATCTTCCACTCTCCTTCCCAGGCCAGTGAGGGCTCTGACCGCTGCCCTTCATCTGTCACAGTCCTACCACGGCACCACTGACAGAATCAGAGATGCACAGCTCAGTAGATAAGCATCCAAAGTATGCCCGAAGTCTAAGAACAAGAACGTTAAAATGGGGCCAGCACTGTGGCACAGCAGGTTAAGCCAACAGCAGCATCCCATATGGGCACTGGTTTCAGTCCTCGCTGCTCCACTTCCAACCCAGCTCCCTGCTAAAAAAGCAACAGAAGATGACCCAAGTGCTTGGGCCCCTGCCCCACGTAAAAGACCTGGAAGAAGCTCCTGGCTTCGGCCTAGCCAAGCCCCACCCATTGTGTCTGTTCCAGAGGACAGATCTCTAATTCTGCCTTTCAAATAAACAAAGTAAATCTTTAAAGATAAATAAAATAAATCTTTAAAAATAAATAAACACCTTAAAGACGGAACACATCAACAACTACTGCTGAGAAGGAAATAAGTAACATGGCACTGGGGCTTCTCTGACCCGCGCGAGCTGTGTGGGCTGCTGCTCCAACCACTCCCCCTCAGCGGCCCACACGAGGTCAATGCTAAATGACGCCCCTGTCCGGGGGACTTGGGAACACTGGCTCTGGGAAAGCAGGTCTTGCTTCTGCGCTGAGGGAACGCCAGATCCATCCTACTTCCCAGGGCAAGCGGTCAGGCGGTCAGGGGGAGGTCAGGGGGCACCGGGGTGGCTCTTACCTTGGAAGGCCTCGTCACACTCATCCAATCTTCGCTTCTTGTAAGTGGGCTAAGGACACAAAGAGGCAGGAATCAGCCTGCCGTACACACCCACAAGACACCCTTCAAGCAAGTCAACTGTTCCTTGACCCTGTAGGTTGTCCTGTTCTTTTCTGCATAATTTCCCAAGTACATATAAAGCCTGAAGAAATGTTCTTGCCACCAAGCAACAACCTTGCAAGAAACACAACACTTTAAGCAACTGGGGGAAAGGGAGGACACTATAAAGAGCAGGAAAAAGGAACCAATCGAGGCACGGTGAGGATAATTAAGGGGATATGTACAAACTTGCT